AGCGGTGGCTTTGAATTGCAATTATTGCAAGAATTGAGTGCTTTTTATAACTTTAGGTTTCAGTTAATAGATTGTCAGTACAATTGGGGCCGGTATGTGAACGGCACCTGGACTGGACTTATTGGGGATGTGTCGCAAAATGTATGTCTAAATAAATATATTTACAATTCAATTAATATTGACATTGCATTAAATACTAAATTAGATATATTTTAAAAACAAAAGTACAGCTATATGAATACAGTATTGCAATGACCTCGATGTCTACCAAAATTTATTAATCATTTAAATTTTATTTATTACAATTATTAAATTAGTTTATATTTACAGTTTTTGGAATGAGGTCATTTTAAAAAGATTAAATTTATTTGAGATATTATTCATTTAATATTATTATTATTTATAAATATATTTATTATAATTGAGTAATAAATATAATAATTTCATTTTCATTACAGTTAGAGTTCAATTATTTTATAATTATTTTGATAAACATATAAACCTATTTTTTATAACTTATTAATAATTTCATTTGAAATATAATTCATAAACAAGGTGGCTGATATTGGTTTATCCGGGGTATCCATAACCTCTGAGAGGGCACAAGTAGTCGACTTCACCGAATCACATATACTGACATCACTTACATTCATAACCCCACCGCCCCTTAGGGGTCAGTCCATGGATTTAGTGCTCCGACCCTTTCACACCTACATATGGCTGTGTCTGATGGCATCGCTTATACTTATGATAATCAGTGTATATCTCATAACCATTTACTACATCCAACTCAACACTATTAGCATCAAGTGGTGTATAATCGCCGCTCTATTGAAGCAGAATATTGTTTGGAAAATACCGAATATTCTGTGTTTAAGGTGTGGGTTGAGTGGGTGGCAGTTGGCCTGTCTGGTCGTCATACAGGCATACAGTAGTCATTTGTATACATTAATGGCATTTCCACCTGAGATTAAGCCCATAAATACTGTCCAAGACTTGGCTGCCGCTGAACAGTCGGGTGACATACAGGTGTTCACTAATGAGAAGTCCTTATATTATACACAATTAAA